CAGTGAGAATGAGCGCAGTTAGGAGTGTGGCGGATTGTAATCAAGAAGATGCTTAGCTGTGCAACACTGCATCTTGAGCAGATTTGAATCAACATTGCCTTAAGGGGACACACACACACACACACACACACAGACACCCCAAAAGGGAAAAAAAATCCATTAATTTTTAGAGGGAAAATTAGAGTGGCACTTGATGAAGTGAAATTTGACATGCGTTAATTGCTCTGCAGTTCTCCTAATTAGAGATTTTCAAATTCTTTTACTGCTGTCACTGTGATGGCATATTGTCTTGCTGGACAAATACTAAAAAATTGCAAATTGCTTTGATCAGGAAGTTTTACCTACAAAGATTAGACTGTATCTCCTGATCTACTTCCAAAAGGTGATCAGCTAGAGAGTAAAGAAGACTGTTCTTTGACCTTCCAGCCCAGATTTCAAAATACAAACAAACAAAATAATAAGGTTGTAAGTATTTCATTATGACACTTAACATAAAGGAAGCAGGTGCTGATGCGATTTTCTTGATCAGCTCGAAATGTTCCTTTCATACTCCTGTCTCTGCTTCATATGAAATATTTCAGGTTGGGGAGAAAGCCAGGGAACTGCTACTTTATATATACAGTCCCATATTTCTACTTCTATTCTGCAGAGATTGGAGAAAGGTATATATATTTTTTCAAAGGCCATGTCACATTTTCCCCAGATCTGAAGTCTCAGGTAATAACAGTCCAGGTTTCCCTTCATGTCTTAAAGTAATTATACTGCTATTTGGCCTCCACATTGTCACCAAATATGATCCCATAATAATTTTGGTTTCCTTGTTCCTACTCCTGTTGTCTAGCCCTTGAACCTCTCTTAATTCATTAACATATTGAATTTTTTCAATTTTCCATTTTCTTGCAATAACAATATTAATGCTGAGGTGAAAGCTTGATTGGAGCTAAATTACTTGTTACCTTCTGGCATTTATTTATATGGCATTGAATTATAAAGCTTTGCTATTGTCATGCCTTGGGCGAATTGTTTATGACACCAGTAATAGGAGTAATTGTTATTGTTGAAATTACCTGTCAGCTACCCATAGCAGTGGCCCTTGTCCCACTGACAAATAGTGACAAGGGAGAGGTATCCTCCATGCGTCCCCCTGATGGCTTCTCCTCTGATAATAAGAAGTGCAGGGCCTCTGATAATTTGCCTGTCACTGTTGAGTGCAGCTCAGAGAGAGTTGGCCAAATTGTTGTCATTCACTTTGACAAAGACAGCAAAATGCTCAGTGCAGAAGGAGGATTATCAAAATAAATGAAATCCCTTACATCCCCTTTGTTTGTTTGCCTGACTTTGTAGGAGGTTGGGAAAAATCAAGGTCCAATTCTTAGGGATGCACCTCTTTTCATTCTAAGATGAGGTTTCCAGGGAAAGGAAGAAGACATTAGAAGACTTACCATTTGTATTTTGTATTTGTTGGTAAAAAGAAATTGTATTCAAACATAAGGCGAAAGTGAATGGACTTGTAACAAGAACTGGAAACATGACTGAATACATTAGTTTAGCACCTTTTCTCTCCTGGTCTTTCTTTTTTTCTCTCTGTCTTTTGTGACTCATGCAGGCAAATTCAATAAGCTTTCAAAATTGCACAAATTTTCCATTTGCAATCAGGTATGCTTGGAAGTTTATACTTCTGCATTCTGAACTCTTCCCGTTTTAGAAGATTATAGAGTAAAATTTAGGATTATTATTTCAAATGGCCAGTTCCTTTCCATAAATTACCTTATTTTATTTATATGCGATCTTCCTGGGTAAAGATAAATGAAACATAGCTTCAGATATGAAGCATCAATTATCACAAGCATACGGAGAAAGCAAAATGACCCTGTTAGTGCCAGAGCTCAAATATAAATATTTGCATTGTAACCCCCCCCACACACACACACCCGGGTTGCAGTCTGTGAACCTGTCACTGAGGAGGGAAGGGAGCAAGGACAGTAGGACTGGAAGGTGTCTGTCCACATCTTTAAAAAGGCACTATAAGCTAATCAAACCTTTGTTGCTATAAAAACCAGAATCACTTCCATCTTTCCACAAAAAGGCATCATTTTATGCTAGGAAAATTCTTCTTTTTAAGGTGCCTGTGAGGCTATTTCTCATAGATCTTCTTGACAAATACTTGCTGTTATGAGAAGTCAAGAAGAAAAAGGGGAAAAAATAACTAGGATAAATGTAAAATATTGGCTCCTTATAGGATAGTAATCAGTTGTTTATTGGTTTCTACCAGACAAGTAATGACCAACCATGGTGTTAAGTGCCAGCCATGTTGCCTTGGGCCCTTCTCTCTTAACACCAGCCATTATCTGATTAGAGAACCTCCAAGGAAGTCGCTATTGCATAATTTTATGGGTCTTAACAGCGCAGGTTGGCTGGCAGAAAAACTACCTAGGAGGGTTGATAAACAACAGTGAAACATGATTTTATTTACTCTACTCACACCTTTCTCTCTCAAAGAGAATTTGAGTCTCTCAGACACTGGTGGCTGCAGAAAAACCACGATTGCTTCAAACAGGAATTGTGTAGGATGTGGAGGAGACAGGAGAAGCAAAATGATCTGTCTCTTAAAGCTTTTCATGGGCTGCACAGTTGGAAATAATGAGCAACCCTGTTAGAGGTTTCTAGATGCTTTCTTCTATGTTTTGTATTTAAAGCGAGTAAATAGGGTTTTAGCCATGCTAAAATCATACATTCAATAATAGAATGCTAGGGATAAGATGTGTTCCTAATCCTTAATAATAATATATTCTTCTAAAGCCAAACCACGTCATGCCTAACTATGGTGAATGTCCCTGATTAACAAGTGGAGGACAGTGACATAATTAAGAGGTTATCTATAGCTATAAAAATGCTCAAACCTGTCTTGGAATGTGATCCCTCCAGCAGATAATTTTTAAGAATGTAGCATGTCCTCACCGACTGTGACAAGCCTCGTGTTAGTGATCCCAGGAGGGAAAATAAACATACGTTTTTAAATGAAGATATTTAAAATGGACCTCATATTTCAGTGTGTTGCTGTAACCTGGTCTTTTTATGTTCCCCCTATAAAACCTAAATTAAGCCTCTTAGGAATGGTTTTGCTGCAGGTTCCCTTGAAAAACACAATACATTTTTAAATGGTTCAGGACTTAAGTGCACTTTAACATGTAATCACTAATGTGCATTCTTTTCTCAGCTCTTCCAAGCACCAGCTTTCTAAAAGGGAAGAGGCTGCTTTAGAATTGAGCTTCATTTGAAATGTAAACTTTTAGCAAATAGTATTTGTTCTTTTGGTCTTTTGAGGAAGTGACTGGCAGCAAATCTCTCTCCCTCTCTCCCTCTCTCTCTCTCTCTCTCTCTCTCTCTCTCACACACACACACACACACACACACACACATTTTGAAATACCCATCAGTGTCAAAGGAAACTGCACACGTTCCTTTTGCTGCTCTAAATAAGGCTCAGCAATGTTAAGAAAAATGTCAGAAGCAAGCTCAGTGGATTAAAGGAACATTCCTGCACCACTATCAGGCAGGACGGGCATCCTGAGCTGAACGATTCTGAAGGATTATTTTTCTTTTGTAAAATGCTTAGTATATTCAACTGCAGGAACTTTTATTTAGAACGATGGAAGGGTTTGATATATTTGTAACATAGAACCTTTATTTGTTTTTCCAAAATCTTGTTATTCTTTAATGTACCTTTAATTTGTCTTTTAAAAATTAGAACAGTCAGGCATTTGTTTTTCCTCTAGAATGTTTCTCTACCCAAGTGTAAAGTGAAAATACATATATTCTTGACTCTTCTATGCATTTTTCTTTGCTTTCTAAAATTCTTTCTGGAACATCCACTTGGTGATAGCAGATAAAATGCTGGGGTCTAACACATGTGAATTCATTGAACTAAGCAGTCCTTTTTCCTCTTAAATAAAATTTATAGGTAACTTTTGGGTATTTTTGACACTTTCCACAAAAATAACATTCAGTAGTGTATTAAAAATAAGTGAGTAGTATGAGGGTTGTTTTTTTTTTACTAAAGAATAGTCAATAATCACAAAATCGTGTAATAGCAGTAAGATAACCTACCTTATCCTACTTATGTAATTAAAACTTAACAAGTAAAAAAAAAAAACAAAAACCTTACAACTTCACAACCATATAATACCACAAAGGACAAGATTTGTTTGACAGAAACAAGGTAAACCTCAACTGATCTTAAATATAAACTTTTCCAAAACAGGTTGAAAATGAATTCAGACAAATTTAGCTCTTAAACTTTAAAGATTTCCTGCCTATTTCTGTATGTCCTTTATTACATTAATTTTTTATTTAAATTACACCATTAACTGGATATGAATTTATCAAGAATACATGTATTGATTTATAAAACAGTACCATTAATTATTATAATAGCTAGATGGAGCTGATATTACAAAGCCATTTAAAGGTTTTTAATATAACTTGGACATACATAGATAGATAGACATTATGGACAAGACTACAATTTAAACTGGCTACCAGCAGTTAATGAAATCCTTGATTTATATTCTAGTTTAGAGATTGATTATATTGTTGCTTTGTAAAACTATTTATATTATGCCATTTTTCAAAGGATGTCTCAATAAAAAAACTAAGTAAAATATTCAGTCAATTCCCAAAGCAGATTTTGTTTTCTATATTTTAAATGCTAGTGAAAATAATTGATTGTGTGTGTTCCAAGCTTTGTCATTTCCATTCCAGAGGTGGCTTTCCTGATGGGAGTCTCATTTGCATATTCACACTTTCCCACACTTTTGATCCTTGTAGAAATAAACCTTTCTTTTTATTTCATTACACACACACACACACACACACACACACACACACACAGGAACTCATGTATATTTCACAAAACCCCAACATCAGGTTACATAAGTCTTTCTGGCATCTTTTATATTATGCATTTTTTTTCCTTAAGGTTGTGGAAAACTGGGACTTACCACCAAGCTGCAAAGCAGGCATTCACGAAGACATTTGGGTAAGAATGCAATCTGAAGAGAAAAAGAGAAAAATGAGGAAGAATATAAGCAAATAACGGTAACACTCAAGTTATTTTTCAAATGGTAATTAGCTAGCAAATTGATGGAAAGTAAAATTCTTTTCACTTTGTACTGGGTTTGGGTCCCCTGGTATCTTTATTTATATCACTTCTCCTTGCCTGGCAACATATGTTACCGATTTATTATAGCATTTTCACTGTTTGCAGACAAATCTAAAGGCTAGCTGAGAAGGCTAGCTTCATCTGATGACTTTAACAACAACTGCAGGGCATCCTTGAGGGTGAGCCAATAGGCTCTTTTGAAGCTATAATACTATTAACTATTTGGATGCCGAAATATTTCTTACAGTGAAAGTAGAATCAGTTTTCCTGTAGGCATTCCGGGTTTGCCTAGACAAAAGTTAAATGGAAATAATTTGTTTTGTAAGTATTTTGATGGCCTTCTAAGTACTTTCCTCTCCACAAGTGGCAAATCCCCTACAGCCGTATGAATACATTGATTTCTTCGTTTCCCTTTCCTCCACAGTATACTGAACCTGTGGCACATCATTATAAGAAAGTAGCTATCAAGTATTAAGTTAAATTGTCACCCATGTCACTCTCCCCCATGCCATGCCATGAATTCTCTACTATTCCATTAAAGGAATATATATATCTACACACACACACATATATATATATATGTGTATATATATATATATATATATCTTGATAGCTAAGTTCAACTTAGATTCTTCTTGGCTAAGAACCTGAAATTACTTCCACAATTAGAAATGCAGTTATGCAAAAGCTATCTTAATGGACATGTGACATTGTTTATGACTTTTAATATGTCAGCCTAATGGTGGCTGCTTGAGAATTCTATTTGTTCCTTTTAAATAGCAACCATTTTAACATTACCAAATGACAAACTTTCACTTTTTTATCATTTGTACTTTACCTCAATCCAAATCATCTAGTTGTTCTTATTCAAAAATGTTTATAAATAATTTCTTTCTGCACCTAAATGTCCATGTGGTGTTCACTCACAATTTCCTGGTACATCTTATAGATCTTCCTTTGAACACTTGTAACCTAAAAATTTAGAAATTACCCCTCAAATACTGGGAGCCAATATTTCTTGTCTAAAAGGTCCAGTAACTAAAATTTAGCATAATTTTGATATTAGAATTCAATAAAAAAAGATATTCATAGACCTATAGGAGGGATCTGATTGTCAGAAAGAATGATTGTTAAGGACCTGAAATTCCCTCTGTACCTCTAACTTCCAGAAGGCAATAAAACATGATATGAACAAACATATCTAAACAGGACATTCCATTTGCAAAACTAAATAATGGCATGCACCTTCATTCTAAGTAAAGAATATGCAATTGCATATTCTGGTTTTGGATATTTGCATGCAAAATTTGACTTTCGATCAGGTGGTAAAATAAGTACCATCTGTGCAATCATTCGTGTGATTCTAATTTTTATTAAAAGTTCTCAGATCTTCATCATTTTTACTTCAATGTACTTTCCACAAGCCTATTTCAGTATTAACTTTAATAGCCTCTCAAAAGAATAATAATACATAAATTTAAAACTTAGACATAACAGCTACATAGTCTTATCCTAGTCTAATTAGGTTAATATTAAAGTGAGGTTATTACTTATACCAGATATTTACTATATGCATTTCTTTTTTTGTCCGGGAGTTATCATATAATGTCATGACTAATTAGTATGGAAAATTTGGGGATGGAGGTAATTATGTTCAAAAGAATTTCAGCTTCAGAGAATAAGGTCAATTTGTTGAGGACATAAATACACTGCAATTTCCAAATATATTATGAATACCCCAGTAACTCAATAGCAGTTCTGTTATTCCATGAATAAATCCATCCTAAATGAATTGGGATCAGGACAAGCAAGCTTCTAAATAAGAATTGTCTTAGAAGAGTAAAAGTAGGTACTAGTGTTTGGCAAGTATAGAGTTTTCTTCTCAACCAACAACAACAAAAAAAACACATTTGATTTTTTAAATCAAAATTGCATTCCTAGCCGAGTTTGATTCCCCTATTTGGAAGCCTGTTTGTCAAGTGTGTATGTGGACTCCATCCATGATCTTCTAGAACAGTCTCTGAGCTCTGTGGTCATCTGATTGGCACCCACCATACCTGGCACATTCTTTTACGCCCTGAAAACAGGTGTCTTTTATGTTTCTTCTGGCTTCCTGGCTTCAGCCCTACCATTACCATCCTTTAATCTATCTACATGGCCCTTCTGATGACTGATCGGAGCCTTAGTTGGCAGCCCTGATCTCTGCTGCTCTCCCACCCCGGACCCCCTTCCTGCCTACTCCCTGCTTTCTGTTCTGTCCAGCACCTTGATTTCTTCCCCCCTAGCCCGTTTCTGACCTGCACTTTTTCTGGATCAGACGCAGGCAGGTTGAGAGGTAATGAGAACCAGATGGACATAGTGCAGAAATTGCCCAAATGGGTATGAGAATGTGGGGAGCTGTCAGGCATGGAGAGAAGCTGGAATTTTTCAGCAATAAAATGGGATTTATCGCCACTCTACCACAGTCATTGCCGACAACCGTTTACCTTGACAGAAACTCCATTCCAATAGGCCTCGCCGATGCAGATTCTTTCTTCCCAAAGAGTGATGATTGGTATTTGTTCTAAGGCTCAAATGGCCTGCACTAAAGGTGAAGCATTAGGCCAAAGTCCTGTATTCCCCACTGAGGCAAATGAACCTGCTAAAATAAGTTCCTTCCACAATGGCTGTGTAATTGAAACCAGAAAGTGAGAGAATTTGATAAATTGCTTGACCCTGAAGGAATGTTAAGGTCATAAATTTTCATTGCCTTTTTTCCCTCTCTTTTTTCTTTATTTTTCTATATTGATTATATTTAATATTTGCCTCAAAATTCAACACACTTACAGATCATCGGTTGTGGCCCCAGGGAGGAGCATAGTAAATCATCAATTAAGAGGGCAGGGGGCAGTCTCCCACCATCCAAAGAGGGATGTGGGCTCCTGGGTATTCCAAGGACAGTCATCGAAGTGTCTTACCTCTCAAAATTATTCCAACTTAGCATGCAATTTGTCCTGGCAGGGACAAAGTAAAATCTACAGGAAAGATTTTTCTCCAAAGGGTGCTGCCCTTCTGTCTCTTAAGAAGGATGAATTGTTAAGAAGCTAGCAATCCATCTGCAACAATTGTACCCTCAGCCTCCCCCCCCACCCCCCACACAACCTTACAGTAAGAACAATTTGATTGTTGCTATTCTCATTTTTTAGGTAAATTCAAAGTGTGCCTGTATGTGCTTGAGTGTGAAAACCATGCTTCTAAATGCTGGTTCTGGCAAGTCTGCTTTGAAATTATTCAAACTAATTTTTTTGAGATATGAATTGTCTTGGTGTGGAAATCAAACGTAGATCTATAAAACTGTCCAAGCTACATTTTTACAAAATGTTAAATACACTAACATACTAAAGTTTATCATAAAGTAGAAATGTTCTGCGTATAAGGTTTTACTTTGCTTTTTAAAAAAAAAACATGAAGGAACAAAGCTCGTCAGCAATTTAGTTGTATTCTTTACTGATCATTTGGAGCAATGTATTACAATGACATATACTCTCAACTTGAAATAGGTGAGGTAATGACTTGAGAGCTAAACTTCTTCTCCCTGAAAAATATTTAAAGTACCTCCTGTGTATTTAGATTGTTTGAATCATTAATCAAGATCAGAGATATCAGATCACTCATCCATTACTTTTATGTTCCAAATTTTTAGAATTTGAAAAACTCAAACAGGCTATCAGGTAACAGAAACAATTGGCTACTGAAATAATTTTTCTAAATTAAGAAAGATTCCTTCCCATTTGTTTTTGACTACTAATTACCTAGAGATTGAATGCAATACTAGCTGTAGCATGCATGAGTATTAAAGGAGCATATGAGTTTTTCCTCATAAATACAGAAAGAAAATAATTTATGTTGCATTTATAAAGTATGGTCAGCAGAGGTGAAGCTAAATAATTTCTGGTCCTTGATCTCACCTCTGTTGTTCACAGGTAATTAATGACTAATGTTTACTATGAGTATTTCTGTCTCAAGAAATGTTTTTGTCAACTAAGGGAGTAAGCAACAGTATACAAAAGAAATAAATCCCAAATCCTCTTTATTTCAAAACTCAAAGTTGGAGAATTTTTATTTTAGTGAAACAAGAAATAGTACCAGGGATGTTAAAAAAAATCTTAGAATCTGGCACCAAAGACTGGATGATAATTTTCATATGTTACCATTTATAAGTATATAAATATTTTCATAAGAATACAACAACAACAAATCTTTCTCTTATGGGGCAAGGGAATTGTGATATCCATATGATTTGCCTTTAATCTAGTAGGGATTTTTTTTTCCAGTCTTAAAATGTGGCTTCCTTCCTCTGCACTTAAAAATTAGGTTGTAAGGCTGTTTCAAGCAAACAAAAAATAAATAACTACATGCATATGTATAGATGTATAGATATCTATGTATAAATAAAATATGAACAGAAAATGGATGCAATCACTAATATTTTTTGCACACTAATGTTCAGCTGATGCAACTCAGTTTTATTCGGCATCACATTAGTGTCATAATGGTAATGACTAGCCTTTATTCACCAACAGCTTGAGTCAGCACTTTGAGACATTTTCAAATTAGGTCATACTGCACATTTGTGGCTGATACAGAGGTTGATTAAGAGAGCTGCAGAGTTGTACAGTGATGTGGTGTGAGTTGAATTAAGTTCTCTCTGATAGTTACGGGAAATGGGAGCCACTATAACTAAGCAGAAATAATGTATGGGCTGTGTGGGGAGGGGGAGAATATATTTCCACAGAGTGCTTAAAGTCATACTCATTTACAATCTAACAAAGTCCTCTGCCTGCAATGGAAGAATTCTATCATGGAGTCTGGAAACAAGCAATGCATTACAAAAAGGAACACGGGAGGCCTGATTCCTTCCCCCTCCACCTCCTCCCCTCCCCAGTTCTGATTCTGTGGAAGTCAGCTTCTGCTTCCATGTCTCTTCTTTTTCTTCTCAATAAAGACTTTTATCCCCCATTCTAGACACTATCTACAGCTTTTCTGGGGCTAAAATGATCCTCTGTCCCTATCGGACCCCTTACCCATAATGCAACAATTTGGAAGCAATGCTAAATTGCTATACAAGCTAGACCTGGAACCAGGAAAACTTATCTATTTAAAGTGATATTGTCATGGCAATCCACAAATTATCAAACATTTGAAACACAGACTTTTCTTTAATTCATCCAGCATTTTAAATACACCTGAAAATGGCTTCTGAATGACAAGAGCACATTTGAATAAAGTTTAAAGGGAACAAAAACAAAAGCTGAAGCTGTTAATTGTGGGCTTGTTCAATAAGGGTAAAAATAGTGATTATAATTCTTTATTCACACCGTATCACTCTTTCCATAAAATAAGAGGATATAAATAGAATATAGATGTAATATAGAATATAAATATAAATATGTTTGCATACACATATATTCATGTATAAATACTTTTATACAAATTAGACTAAGGAGAATATATTCAAAGCCAAGGAACCTGGAAAAGCCCAGCATGGTGATACATACCTAGAATTCCAGTACTCAGGAAAGTAAGGCAAGAGGATCAGAAGTTGGAAGCTGGAAGTCAGACTGGACATCGCAGAATGACCCCATGTCAGGAATCTGGATAAAAACTGAAATGGTGTAAGGCACTGAGCTGAAAGAAAAGTTCTCCAACACTTTCTCGTGCGGAATTCCCCTTGAACTGACATGCTGAAGCATACTTCTAATGTGATCAGATCACAATTTATTTCATGTGTTTGATGTGTTTATTAAATGCCAACTTCCCAGGCAGACTCTTTGTCCTCAACATGGATTTCTGGACTCAATCTTTGCCCCTCCTCACAATGGTGTTTAATGCCTCTCTCCCCTCAGAAAAATGATCGCCAGTTTATTCTCTCAAATTTCATTTGAGTTGTCATAGGTTGGCTGGACATGTTTTCTAAAAAGTAAAAAAATAAAAAAGGCTAAGCAAAGTATGAGGAAGTGCTCCATTAAAAGGTATAGAAGTTGATGGTTTTGAAATTAAGTGCACCAAATTAGGAGCATGCAGTTCTAATAGCTATATTCTCAATATTTATAAATACCTTTATATTCCAGGCTGTGTAATTATTATTTTGACAAGAATGAAAGGAAAACACTCTTCAAATCTTAGAAGGAATATAAACAAGAACTCTTGGGATGAAGAAAAGAAGGGAGGGAAGGAAGAAAGGGGGATGGAAACTGATGTTAGCTTTCAACTCAAGGTCAACAGAAACTTCTTTTGAACCACCTACCCTCACTGACTAATTCCATCTTTGAAAAGTGAAAGACTGTGGACTGTGAAGACAATACAACACAAAACTGCTGCCTTTGATTTTGGCTTTTTGTTGTTATATTGTAATCAATACTTCCAATAATCAGCAACTGAAATTTGGATTATTCCAATCCCCTTCATTTTTGCCAAGTTACAAACACTGGTCTTCCTGGATTAATTATTTCAAAAATGAAGGAAATGAGTATCTTCCATTGACTGTCCTATTACCCAGATCAAAAGACAAACACTGCTGGAGTCACGGTCTGCCAATTAACACTAAAGCAATGGTGGTACTATGTCTCAAGTCGCAACATTTTCATTTTGAACAAACCCTTGGTATTTGCAACCAGTTAATTTACATTTTCCAAAGGTCACTCGTGGTGATAGCTAGAATGGAATGTAAATTTTATTTATCTTGAAGTAGGCTAATTTGCCTAGCCAGGGAGATGTCCCTTTCCTGACACTAGGATGACTTAAATCTGAATCAGGCATAATGTTGCAATGAAAAGGTAAAAGTATTTCTTGCTATTTTGTTAAGCAATTAAGAGAATACTTAAGTTTCTCCAACATTTTAATTTGGTTGATGAGAACAGCATCCAGTGAGCTATGTTTATTAATATTGTTATTTTGCAGAATTGATAGAAGCCACATTAAGGGGGTTCAACATGACTTTTGATGATCTGGCATGCAGTGATTAAATAAGGTTAATCCCCATTTTATATGCTAATAGGATATTTATAATCTCTATAGCATATCCAATTTAACGATTTTACTCTCTGTTGTTCAGAAAGTATTTCTTATTAGTGAAACAGAATATTCTTGCATTCACCACAGATGCTAGTTTAATTGGGCTTGAGTGCATTGTGTATAATTAGTCCACTTCTTTAATATTTCATCTATAATTACACAATGAACAATTTGCTTAAATTTTATAAAATTAGTGTGGATTTGAAAGAAAAACTGTGAAGAAAAAACACAAGCATTCTATTTCTAACATTTCCCAAGCCCTACTAAGATCCTCAGAGCTCAGATGACTGTGAGTTCCAGCAAAGATGAGTGGATGCCCAAAGACTTTGAGGCTACAAGTAAAAATGATGCTCTCCCCACTTCACCCATGCTACCCAATGACAGTATTGGTGGCAGAGTTATTGTCCAAGTCCCCACAAGTTATTGTTCATCCCCCAAGATGAAAGTACCCATACACTGTATTCTCAATGTCCCTGAGAAGGGCAACCTTGAAACTTGTACTTTTGATGACAAAGCTGTTTGGTTTGAGATTTGAATTCTATCCACTCCTCATTCCTCTCTGCCCTATTATTTAGAGCTCTTTCAGATAAACTCATTCCAAGCAGCAGCCTATGAAGTTCTATCATGGGAAACAACTTTTGATTTTAAGGAATATGACTAATTTGAGAGACAGAAACTAGCTTGCCATTTTGAAGGCTTCTAACTAATTGAAAAAAGTCAGTAGCTCTCTAAGTGTTATATGAATATAGACTATCTTAGACTGAACATCGCTACTTCTATACCAGCAGTCTATTTACTTGTAGCATCCTTTTTAATTCAAGGATGAAATAAAGGCAGATTGTGAAGTTTTAATAAAATTTCCTAAAGAAGAATTAACAAAACTCAATAGAATATGAACATGTACCTTCATGCAGTTTCTCTTATATGCTAAAACTCCCATCTTAAAAAAGACTTGAGATGGTTCTTCTTCATTCCAACTTGCAAAAAATGTATTTCTTTTCTACTAAAAATAGAATCAACTGCAGAAGTGACTTCTCTAATCCAGAAGCCTATGTACTTGCCAGTGGACAAATAATAATGCCTCAAAGATCCAAATGGATCAAAGACCTTGAAGTCAAAGCAGACACTCTGAAAACATTACAGGATGGAATAGGAGAAACCCTAGGTCTCCTTGGCTCAGGCC